ATAGCCGCGTGGTCTGAGGCATCATACTTCGGACCGGCGATACGGAATGCGCGCTGGTTATCTCGGGGGAAAAGAAAATTTCTCATGAGATTTTTGACCGGTGTATGGGACCGGTGCCAACCCAGCATCGTGAGGAAATTGGGGAGCTACGATGGGTAGCGTAATCCGGTCTGCAACGCTAGCAATAGCTGGGGGTTCGTCGTGCTTACCACACGTCACCCTATATCTGGTTGGATGATCGTTCCCCTCTGCTTAGGCATGTGAATGTGAGTCCAGTGGCCAGCTAGTCGGCTTTGGCTCTCTGGAGCTGTTACCTATAACCAATAATTTTTTTGTATGTTAAATAAAGGTCCACCTTAACATTTTCAAGTTAAATGTGCTGATTCCTCAGTCAAGGGTTTGCTGCAGGAGGTGGATGCATTGCTATGGATTCTTGTTTTGTAGTCTTCAAATGCCTGTGTATGGCAGGCTGCCAGTTTAGTTTGCAGCGACTTAAAGTGAAGCCTCGCGTTGTGCGTTCTTTGGATATGAGCCAAATGTTTACAAAAGGAATATTTACTGATGAAAACATACAACTCATACTATGTCTCTGCCTCACATACAGCAGCTTTCAGATATATTGAGCTCCTTTTTGTTTATTTATTTATTTTTTAGGTACTTGTGGGTTATCAGGACACATCACTTTAAAAATAGCTTAGGTTAATGTGTGTGGATAAATGACATATACTTGAAAGTTATTATATTTTATTTCAGTAAATGACAAATTATTATATTTTATTTGGATATGCACGAGATGTTAATCGGGAGCCGGGATAGCTCAGTCAGTATAGTGACTAGCTACGGGCTGGACGACCGGGGTTCGATCCCCGACGGGGCCAGAGGATTTTTCCTCTGGCCTCTGCGTCCAGACCGGCTCTGGGGCCCACCCCGCCTCCTCTACAATGGATACCGGGGTTCGATTCCGGGGGTGTCAAATCCAAGTCCGGATATTCGACTCTCCCGTTTTGTGTCCCTATAACCAACAAGTACCATTTTTTATTTATTGAGTGTTTCTTATGCTATTATGTTACATTGTTTGTATAGGATGCTTATTTTGTGTCTCTCTCTCTGTATTTATAAATATATGGACAAAGTGTTGAAAAAATTATTATTACTGTAATGTCTTCGAATTTGTCTTTTGATGTCCATGAAGTTTGGTATCAAATTTATGCTGTGGAGGACACCTCATGGCCTTGGTTCTAATTGCCTCCGTCCAGAACTTACAATGTGACGATGACACGAATCTGCGCGTTGGGAGCGCATTTTGCGCCTTGCTGTTTAGAACTTTGAAATTTTGAATGATTTAAATGTGGCGAGATCTTTTAAGGACGTTTTTTTAAGAAATGGCTTCATGTATCAAAGAAATATTGGTCTTGTCCAAGTACTGTAAATTTTATCTGACACTTATTGGCCCAGTGAATATTAATTAACGCTTTGAAGCTGAAGCTCATCTACATTATATTTAAAATTTCAGTTTGTGTCTCAAAGAAACCGCAACACTTCTTTTTTAAAAAGATGAATTGGTTAATGTTGTTTAAGGAAATAATTGCTGTCCCAGTCATATTAAACACATGGAGACGCACTGCGGGTGGAATGCAGACATATCGATTGTCAAAGCAGGCTTACGTGTAGTTTGTGGCTGCTGGGCCTGGAATCGTTGAACAGCAAGAATGTTTTAAAAAGTAATTTTAACTTCAAAGTAAAGTATCAGTTTTTTGTAATTTCCATGTTGTCAGTTGCATTCTCTTCTGTGACTTTGTAGGCGTGCGGGCGTATCGGAAGCCTGTCGGATGGCTGTTCGGCAGTTATCATCACCTACTTCACTGAAATCTACAGCTTCCTGCAGAAGAATTTTAAGTCGGATGCCGTGTGCCACGTGGCAGGAGTCTGTTCTGCGACCTTCCACAAGCATAGGGTAGGAGGTCGATCATTCATTTTATTTCAGGAAAAATCTTTTTATTGTGCAGTTTGTAATTTTGAATTGGCAGTGTTGCAGGTAAATAGTAGACTGTAGTAAACTTCAGATGCTATTATCAGCCTATTTTATTTTTGTTTCTAGATTGATACTCATTTTAGTTCTTTTAGTTTGACTGACGGATGTTGGTGATATCTGATACATTTTGGAATTTGATTATTTCGTTTACTTAACCGCTCGAGGAGACTTCTTCATGGAGATTTCATAGTGATGACTGTTCTCTCATTATAACCTACTATGATATGTGACATAAAGTAATTAATAAAACTAATGTGTAACAAAAGAGGACATGGGAATTTGTTTATGTGGTGAACTTCGGAATTTCAGAATGTACAGTAATATTGTGAAGAATCCGTACTCTGCTGGGTTGCAGATCTTTGTAGTCTGGTAGAAGTTTACCAATGTTTCAGAGGTCCTTGCTGTCTCCATCATCAGGGCAATCTGAAACATTGGTTAACTTCTACGAAATTACGCAGCACTACAACCCGGAAGACGGCCATCTTCGTGCTCGCCATGACGAGAACTTCAAATCTTACTTATTTTTATCATGATGTTTCATCTCTCCCGTAGCCTGTACTGAAGAAGGTTGATGTTGTACACGAGTCAAATGTTGGAGTAGTAAAGGTCGAAGATGATTTGCCGTGCGAGTTCTGTGAGCAACTTATCATTCATCTGCGGGATGTCCTTGTTGCCAACACGACTGAGCAGGAGTTTGAGGAAGTTCTCAAAGGGTTATGCAAGCAAACTCGATCGTTTAAGGATGAAGTAAGTGGCACTGAAATCAACTTTGTGGTTTGAAGTTATGTTTTTTGTTTGTTGTAACCCTCTCCCATGCTTATTCAGACAGATTGACGGCATATATTATCTTGTTTCCAAAAGAAGTATTTATTTTACATCATTACGTATTAATACAACTTGAAAGGGACGCTGTTTCAGGTATTATCTTATTCTATGGCTCTCCAGTCCGTATTCGGTCCATGGCCTCCTCAATTCTCCTCTTCCATTCGGTCCTATCCTCCTTCCAATTTCTAATCCTCAGGAGCGATGTGGTATCCGTTTGAACTGCATCCTCCCATCTGTTCCGGGTCTTCCAACTGGGCTTCTTCCTCCAACACTTCATTTGAATACCATCTTTGGAATTCGGATGCCGTCCATCCGAATATGTATTTAGCAACTACCTGAATAAAATCCTTAAGCCAGTGTTCATGTTGGGTTTCTTTTGGTATTTCAAGTTTTACCCCTGTGATTACTATGTATGACCATACTCTTTTTCTAAGCATGTTTTCTCTTATAAACTTTCATTATATCCTTTGAGCAAAAATGCGGAAGACATTAATTTAAGTATCGTCTTGGGTGATGTTCTACGTCCAATAAAAATCTAATTGGATATTAATTTCTTTACAGTGCCTCAGCATTGTGGATGAGTATTACGCTGCAATATACAGCTTCCTGGTGAATAACTTGAGCGCCGGAGAAGTGTGCAAAATCTTTGGACTCTGCGGAGGACATAGAATTAAAGTAAGGGTAAATTAACTGATATTTGATGAAATCCCTGTGAATCCATAGTGACTGGAAAACATTGTGACCAGTTGTTTGACACATTTTTAGCGTGGACCTATTTCACTTTCTGTCATGTGGTTTTTATGCTTCTGAAATTGTTACTTCAATTTGAATTCTTGTAGTCTCTCCTGATTTCCTACTAGATGGCTCTGGTAGTCAAAAATCAGGATTGAGTAGAAATTGTGCAGAGTCATTGGGCAACGCACACACCAAAGACCAGGAAACCAGCGAAAGGAGGCCCTATACTCTGGAAAAGAGCGATAGGAAATAAAGAAAGAATTAATTTGTGTGGTAAAGTGATGATGAACTTCACAGCCAAACATTTCCCCTCCTTTGCATTCTAATTAGAACTTTATTATTTAGAAAATCGATAGAAACGTAATAAATATATGTTAAATTTAAGCATAAGGGTTCGTGTGATTCTGCCTTTCTCATCTTTAGGGATGTTATATTTTGATAATTTCAGGTTCCCATCTGGCCACTTCTTCCTGCTCAGACTGTGGAAACGCTTAAAGCCTCACATTTGATTGGCAAAAATAATGACGAAGTGAAGGCCTCGCTATTAACGCCCGCTCAGTCTGTGGGCTCTCTCATTCCAGCAGCATACCTGACTCCTGCCAGTAATAAGTCTTCAAGCTTTCATAGGGTTTCTATTGGTGAAAGTGGAGGTGGTAAGTTTCATTGTTCTGTAATTTTAATTGTGCGAAGTTTGCGATTACTAATATCACCTGGAATGGGATATTTTTCCTCGGTTTCCAATGGATTATTAATACTTGTGTGGTAGGAATGCTTACAGATGTATAATGCAAGCTTTGTTATTGCTCAAAGGTCAAAGAATGATCCAACAAGACTGGAAAGACGTAGTTCATACTAGAATACGTGAGATTTGTCCAGTAGTTCTTGAGTTGAATCATGTGGCGATGCAGATGTGGTTGGCCCTGTATGCACATTGTGTGGAGGATGCATAAAAATGAAGGGGAATTGGTTGTGTTACTGTCCACAGACCAGGAGAAAAGCCCTGCGGGGGGAAGTCGTTTCTGGGGCGGTGCAGGGGGATTGTTTACTATCAAGTGAACTAGAGGGCTGCTATTGGTGGGAAGTGTGATATGTCAGAGTTTTACACTACTACACTCAGACTGAAAACATCAAGCAGTTGAGATTAGCGTGTATTGAGTGCGCCTGTACTGTGTTCTGTGGGTGTTGTGATAATATTCTAGATTAAATCACTGTGTCACTGTAAGGTAATCTTAAAGCTGTACCCATTAGAACACATGAAAGCCTGTCGTCTATTGTTCGTTCAGTGGTTGTGGAACGAATGCTTATAGGATGGGTCGTCACTCACCATGAAATCTTGCGCAAGCGCGTATAACGAATTCCTAGCAGGGCTTTTCTCCTGGTCTGTGGACTGTACCTTAGGAGGACCTTACTTGATTTAGAGAAACAGGTTAAGATATATACATTTCTTGTTCTAGTTGTGAGAGTAGCTGATGTGGAGGAGAACCAACTCCCAATTGAAAGAATGATGCCTCAAACAGTTGTGTACATCAACAACAAAAATGTGTGTGTTTTCTGCCAGTATTTCCTGCATTATGTGCAGCAGGCTATAACAAATCCGAAAACTGAGGTATTGCACGATATTATCACTTACCACGAATGTGAGAATTACGCTTGCACTTTAATATTTGAGAAAATTTAGTTTTGATTTAGTTCAATTTGGTTTTGTTTTGACTGACTATATATTCACACCTACTGCTTAAATAGCGTTAACTAGATTTACTTATAGTTGCTGGTTCTTTATTTCGCTCAGAATTAGTAAGAAAGTTGGCTGATACGAAATTCCGTATAGATATTGGAAATGTTTATGTCAGTCTGTTATTATTTTATTAGTTTAATTTAATAGTAAAAAAAACTTCCAGAGAGATTCTTTTGGTCACTCGGCTAGTCAGGAAATTCACTACCTTTTATGGAACCCGAATGTTGTTTACCGTGTTCACAAGTTTGTCAAGGTTCTTTAAATTGATCAAGTATGTAATTAATTCCAGTTATAAACATTTTGTATTCCCTTTATTTTATTACAGATTATTGTACTTAAATACAACTTACAATGGCACATCATAAATATAATTAACCTTTTGTTAACCAGGAATTATGGAATATGTCTGTATATTGGATCTGTATTGATAATTGAATATTTTTGTCTGTCATATGATATCAGTTTGTTGATAAAAGTTTATGTTGGAGAATTTATTACTACCAGAAGTGAGAACTGTAGAGAAATCAGTTCTGTATATCCATACTGCAGGAAGAAATTTATGGTTCCAGGCACAAATAGAGAAGGTGGTGACAGAAGCATGCAACCATCTGCCCGATGCCGTTGAGGGCCAGTGTCGAGAATTTGTCGAAACATACGGCAATGCTTTCATGGCTCTCCTGGCTCAGGAGATCGACCCCTCATTGGTAAGCTACCTCGAGCATAGACGGTAAAGTGTTTTAGTACGGTACATTTTTCGTAACAAAAAATAATTTTTGTGGATCTCTTGGAATGTTCCTGCATGTTTCCACTCTTGTAGTTATTTAGTGGTCTGAGGCATCATGCTTCGGACCGGTGATACAGAATGCGCGCCGGTTCGAGTCTCGGGGAAAGAAATCTCTCGTGAGATTTTCGATCGGCATATGGGACTGGTGCCAACCCAGCATCGTGAGGAAATTGGGGAGCTACAATGAGTAGCGTAATCCGGTCAGGAAAGCTAGCAATGGCTGGGGGTTCGTCGTGCTGACCACACGTCAC